GTAGACCAGCTCAGTCGTCGCTGCTATGGTTGTGCAACGGCTGCCGTCTCCGGAGAATCAGTCCACGGACGATTTTTTTAGCTTTTTGCTGCCCCTGTCTAAAACGCTTCGAACAGACGGTCGCAACAGTGAAGCGCTCCGCTTCCTAGAGGACTCGGAAGCGTCCGTCGAAGCACTGCGCAACCACAAACTGGTGCTCAAAGTGTTTGTGCGCTACAACACCGCTCTTCCCTCAAGCGCATCCACGTGGATAGGGTCTGCAGCGTCGGGGCATATATCTTTATCAGGAAATGTGGGAAGATGACTGACGAGAACTTCAAACGAGAACTGCTGGTGAAGCTTTGAACATATGTATGAGGTGTGATCAAGTAGTTCCGAGACTGATTTTGTATCGAACGGAGAGGGAGCAGCACAGTGAGGCGCGCACGACAGTCGAGGGCAGGGACCTTCCTGCGTCATTGTGCCAAAGTGTGTCCCTCTGTGAACATTTGTAAACGCGCTACTCGAGTTTATTTGATCACACGCACAAACATAATGGTGATATCTCCGTAGACTGGAAACTAAAGCGAGAGCGAACATCAAATTTGCGTCAAAGTCGGCAAAATGTAAAAGAGAGACCTATGAAATGTTTTAGAAGGCTCGTGTCAAAAAGCAGCGAGGCGCGCGAAAGGTTTTGAGTGGCAATCGCGCCTCCAAAATGGAAGAACGTGACTTAAGTCAAGGAGAGGTCGGATATAATCGCCATACCGCTCGTCGTCTTTCAGCGATGTTCTCTCGTTCCTGAGGCGCGAGGGCCGCTTAAAAAAACTTCGAAAACTTAAGTGCTTTTTGACACAAGCCCGCTGAATCATTTCAAAGGTTTCTGTTTTAGGTTTGTCGAGTTTGACGCCGAATCGATGTTCGTTCTCGCTCTGGTTAGCAGTCTATGGTGAAATCGCCATTGTGCACGTGCGCGTGGTCATAAAAACTCGTGTAGCGCAGCTCCAGCCGTTCACAAAGCAACGTCCTTTGGTATAACGAGATACGAAGGTTCCTTCCATCGACTGCTGCGCGCGCATCAGTGTACTATCCCCTCTATTTACACTACAAAACCAGCCCCGGAACTTTTTGATCACTCGTTGTATATGAATTTTTGGATTTGTAACAAAAAGTGTGAAAAAGGAACGTGGAAAGTAATCTATTACTTCCTGGTAATTTTTCAAATAATTTTGCGATGCACTAATTGATTACTGTAACGAAGTACATTTTGAAATAAAGTAATTGTAATTGTAATTTGTTACTTTTTTCAGTAGCGCGTACAGGATTGGTCCCGGGTATAGCACGCCAGAGAAGTGCCTAACCTGGCACAAACTTGAAAATCCTGCACCCCCCCCCCCCCAAAAAAAAAAAAAAAAAGCCTGTGCGTCTACTTTCCCTTACAACTCTCGGAAAGCCAATCATTGCAACTTACGGCGGCAGCTCAGCGAATGACGATGCCGAAACATAGGTTTAGACCCAAAAAACGCAGTCTGAGTTTTGACATTAAGCACTGCAAGCGTGACGTTTTGCATGCCTTAATGTCACAAGTCAGACTGCGTTTTTGGTCTAAACATATATTTCGGCATCGTCATTCGCCGAGCTGCCTCCGTAAGTTGCGGTGATAGGCTCTCCAAATGTTGTTCGGGAAAGTAAACGCACTGACTTTTTTTTTAGAGTGTAGGGTCCTGACTTGGGGCTTAATACGGCTTTGCTTGATGGCGCTAGTTAGTGCCAGAGTACTTTTTTTTGTGCGTTTCTTTAACTTCTTTTCTGGCTTGACCCCCCAAAAAAAGGTTAGATGAAAGCCAGACTATATTAACAGTGAAACCTAAATCCGGTTCTTGTTTGGCAAATTATAGGCCCAATGTTTTCACATGAAAACCGAGCAACCAGAGGTGAAACCTAAATCTGGCACATGCTTGGCGATTTATATCCAAAGACACCGCATATGACAGCCCCAAATGCTCACAGTGTAGTCTAACTTTGGCACTTGTTCGGTGAGTTAATTAGGGCCAAGATACCCAGAATCTGGCCAGATATAAGTGAAGCTTGGCTGTACCTCGATATCTTCGGTATTTCTCAAAACCATAAATTTACAGTAAAAAAAAAAGTTTGGCTTAAATTAATTGTGCTACCTAGGTGACCACAGTTCAAGAAATTTGAAACGACGACTTTACCACAAAGAGCTTAGAATAAACAATCGCTACATTTATGGAGGGAGCTCGTCGGATGATGAGGCTGACGTTATGTTTAGATAGATAAAAATTGTCTGCGCTTGGCTGCTGAGCATGAGATCCTCACCATGTCCAGTGCCAAAGCGCAGACAGTTTTTTTTTTGTTTTTTTTTGTCTGAACATGTTTTTTTTTCGATTTTCCGGGCTATTTCCGTAAATTGCAGCGACTGAATATGCTAAGCACTCTGCGTAAAAGTAGCCAGACACGATTTCTCAGGGGGTATAGGAGAGCATCTTTATGGCTTGCAGCCTCCACGATTTTAACCAAATTTCGGATGCTATTCATAAAAGAAAAAGAGAGAAGGACATACGAAGAAGACAAAGAAACACAAAACAAAAATAGATCTCCATGTTACGGAGAAACTTTACATATATCGAACCAGCTTGCTCCCGGTCTTATTTACGGATGCAAGGGGAAACGCGCGATTGAATGAGACACAAGTGAAAAGCTAGGTCCGAAGAGGAACGTAAAAAGTGGCGCAAGTCGATACGGGAGAGTCAAAGATAAATTGATCGTCGGCTGGTACACGGAAATAAAATTGATCCAGAATCGAATATCGGCCGCTGCGTATGATGCGAAAAAAGTTCTTCCATATGTGTACTGCGGAAAAAGACAACGGAAAGGTATCTCTCCGTATGATACTTTTTTTTTTTCCTTTTTTAAAGACCAGTATTGGGGAGAGCATTCTTCTCAACGGCTTTCTCTTATAAATTTAGTTTTTTTTTTTTTTTTTTTTTTAGAAATTAATAGATCTCTGGTTTATTTTTTATAAGAATGATACGGGGGGGGGGGGGGGGGGGGGCGTTGCACCAAAGCATGTGGTGCAAATCTGTTCAAATTTTCATAGTAAGAATGTTAAGATTGATCCCTCATTTGTTCGGAAAAAGCTAGGCATTTTCTGAAGTTCTGAAGTTAAGTTCAAATTAACGGCAAAATTATCTTGTCATCAAAGATAAAACATTGCACCACACAAATTGCGTTATTTAAAAAAATAAATAAAAAGCCTGTTTATTTTATTTGATAATTTATATTAAATATTAGAGACTCGGCTGGCTTAATCGAGAGCTTCGCGATGTGCCACTATATAATGCGAAGTATTTGCAAAGTTTTGCTTAACCGGTCAAACGCACCTGAGCCGAGATGGCAACCGCAATGTGCTCGCTCCCTATGAATGGACTCGAGGACCACGCACGGCAAAGAATTCGGACGCCTCTTTTTCTGGGCTCTTTAGGTTCGGTACAAGCGGCCCATGCTTTCAATTAACCATTCGTATTAAAAAAAAAAAAAAAAAGTGCGTTTACTTTTTTGCACAACACTCGGAGAACCGATCACCACAACTTACGGAGGCAGCTCAGCGAATGACGTTGTCGGAACATATCTTTAGTCCAATAAAAAAGTCTGAGTTGGGACATTAAGCAATGCAAGCCATTGCATTGCTTATTGTCACAACTCAGACTGCGTTTTTTGGTCTAAACGTATGTTTGGGCATCGTCATTCGCTCAGGTGCCTCCGTAAGTTGCGGTGATTGACTCTCCGAGTGTTGTGTGGCAAAGTAGGCGCATGTTTTTTTTTTTTAAAGTGTAGTCTAACGTAACCACAGAGAGCGTACACGCGCTCTTCCCAACGTCGCTGCCGTAACACCCGTGATGAGAGTTTGCATAACGTAGCTCAGTATATCGGTCGATCGTCTCTGTGAAACTTAAAAAAAAAAAAAAAGACCTGGTCGGACGAAAGAACGCCGAAGCGAGGTGAGCTCAGAGCCATCGCGTGGCTGTACACGAGCGCAGCTGATTTTGAATATCCAACGTCAACTTCGTAACATTACGTGAGAACAAAGCTTAAGAAAAGCGGGGCGATGCTTCTTTTGTTCACGCTTCTTTTTTTTTTCTGATTGGTTTTTTGACGTTTTTATAGACTAATGCCGCATTCTGATTGGCTGCGGAGCGATAATAAGATGTTCGTGACTCAGACTTACTCTGCATTCTTGAAGCTCTCAGTGACCGCAGCGGAGCTAAAGAAGAAAGCGTGAACTATCGGTGACGTTACGTCGAGTGAGTTGAAATAGTCCTGCGTATCAGTTCTGTGCCCTCCGTCAGCCGCCCGTTGTTCTTTTTTTTTTTTTTTTACAGTAGTGAAGGATTATCATCAAAACTACAATAGTGGTGAAAAGCGCCCAGTTGGGCTACTAACTTAAGTGGTCAATTTTGATGCCGCTAGCATACCCTGTCGAAGCAAAATGCAAAAAAAAAAAAAGGGCCGAAGTCGTCCACCATTTTTTAGACCACCTGAGACTGGGTGGAAGAAACACGAGGACGTCTCAGTCAAAGTCGTGTTCGCGCTAACACTATCGCGCAGTGTACTTTGACGACACTGTTAGTGCGAACAGTAGAGACTTTTAGTCAGGAGTCCTGCTTTTAAGAGATCGTACGCAGCGCATTAAGGGCCAAGCGGGCGCGTGCGCAGCGCATGCTTCGAGATGACGAGATTCCGCTAGCAAAGCAAATCTCTAGCGTACAGTTTCCCAAAACCCTCCAATACTTCGGCTCTTCGCTCCTTGCTCCGATGTGTAACTGACAAAGATCCAGGTTTACGGCTCAAGTTGTTATCTCCGGTGAGCGCTTTACGGCAAACTAGCAAGTTTGACTATGCCGCTTCAGCTGTGAGAGAAACGAGGGAAAGACTGGCAATCACTCGACCGCTAAATTACTGTATAACGCCTATGGGCGCAGAGCAACAGGTCGGCTCACCTGTACAAGTCCTGTTGTACCTGGCCGATCCGGGGCCAATGCTGAGCGAGCAGTTGAAGCGCACCTCCCAGAACTCCTTGAACCATGGGTTCCGGAGGTTGGTGAACGGGTCCAGACCGAAGTAGTAGCGGTCGAAGTCGTGGTCGTAGTTGGCGTGGAACCGGATCGAGAGGCTGCCCACCGAAGCCTTCTCCTGGTTCTTCACCACGTCTTGGCGGTCCGACCAGCCGTCACTGCGCACACAAGGAACACATCTTAAACCGCGGTCACGCTGCTGGTACATCGTGCAAAAGGCACGGTCTCCAGACATGATGACAAAACTATCTGCGGAGTGCGGACACACGCCTCAAGTACACTTGAAGTCATGCTTGCTTCATAGATAGCTATTCTTCGAACGTGTCTGCGGCTTGTTTTTGTATGACCAACGTGACAGGGCCGTCATACAAAAGGGAAACACGCGTCACGTCTGCAGGCTGACGTTACTATACGCATTAGCAGTGTCACCACGGCTTTACGGCAGCTCCCTCTTGTAACGTGGTACCGCTGAGTGAAGCCCCACCTGCCACCGTCTGCCGACATGACATAACCAGTTTGTTTTTGTATGATCGCTACCTATAGAATTTTATAGCGAAACCGCCAGCTTACATTCTTTTGCGGCCGAAGGTGACACGCAAACGTAAAAATAGAGCAACACCGACTAGGTTATGATGATAATGCAATTAATGCAAAGGGGCAAGCGAGCTGGACAAGAACGACGAAAATAATCCCTGTAGAAGAGGAACAAGGGAGAAAAAGGACAAACACAAATTTCCAAACACAGAAAAGTGACTGGTGCGCGACCAAAAAAATTCGCTTGCACCCGGTATCGAACCAGGGACCCTTACATTTCCAGTGAAGCGCTCTACCAACTGAGCTACCCAGGAGTTCGACGTCAGTGAAGCAAGGGGGTTTAATCGGCTGCCACAAGTCTATCACCAACAACGGGAAGCGGTCTGCATTTTAGCTCAGTTGGTGGAGCACTCCAATGGAAATGCGGAAGTCCCCGGTTCGATATCAGGACAAGGCGGATTTTTTTCGGACTCGCACCAGCCAGTTATACTCCGTCTCACTAAAACTGTGCAGTACAGCCAAAGCTACAGGAGAGAGAGTGTATCCCGACCTGCTCAAGAGGAGGGAAAGAAAGAACGTGGGAATCCAAGCCCTTCTACTCCCGTTCCTCCTTGGTCTTCGCATGAACAGGTTGACTTACGCTCTCTCCCCTTTAGCTTTGGCTGTGCAGCACGGTTTTAGTGGGACGGAGTATAGCTGCGGTTTGTGATTTGTGTTTTTTTCTTTGTACTCCTTGTTCCTCTTCTCCAGAGATTATTTTCGACACTGACTGGGTGTTTTAAGCTGTCGCCCAATAACAAGGATTTTGGCATATGCACTCATCCATCTACTGTTTGAGAACAATGTTAATTCGACGTGCCGGTTCGAGTGTACTGAAACCATACCATCACCAGCAGCTTCTACGCAACATGGGTTCTCACTGCTCTATGTTCCTACGTTCGACGATGCGAATAGACCGATCTCCCCAGCCAGCTTCGTTAAGCCACCGCCACTGGAGTGCATCGTGAAAATTGTTCTGGATGAGCGACAACCGCGCTGCAGTTCTGTGCTAGCAGAGCACGATAAGATACGAGCTGTCTCTAGCACTGGCACCCGCCTCCTGTCAACTACAGTTATGGCGGGGTCACGCGTGCAAAGAACACTCAGTTAGATCGGAGTATATGACTAATTGTCAGAACGATGGATAGCATTACGCATTCAAATCTATGCTCTATTCTAGACCACATTACGTTTAAAAAAAGAAAAAAAAACAGTACGAGACGCCCCGCTTGCAAAAAAACAACAACAAAAAAACAATACCTCGCTCAATGCTCAAGGCCTCATTCAGCATGGGGCATTAGGCGGGGCCTTATTTTTGGCCTTTCAAACTAGAAAAAAACTTCACGTGCCTGGATTTACTTCTTTTTATTCTATATGTACTTCAGTTTAAAAGATAGTGGGTTAAAATACATTGTTAAAGAAGATAAGCGTCCAAAAAAACCTGAGAGTGTAAAATCGTATAAAAAAGAGTAAAACATATTTTTACATTTTTATATAGATTATAAATTTCCACATAATTTCGGTTCACCGGGTTTGAACCGAAATCAACGAAAAAGAGACGTTTTATCGAACGACTGAGAGCCACTCTAAAAGCCACTTAGGCCATCTGTGTGTGAGTTGAGTGCTGAAAAGGAAAACTAGAAAAGCAATGTCATTTAAGGGAGGAAGCTTAAACCCACGTTTCTTTAATGCGACGCTTAAGGCCTGGGCGGAAACAACTTACCCCTTAGCCTGGTCAAAGTGGTCTGGATACAAACTTTCTCAGCGGAACGTTGTTTTTTTTTTTGTTCACTTGTTTGATCAAATCTTTAAAGGCGGAGCCGCTCCTTTAATACAAAGGTTAAAACGAAACTGGTAACCTCCCCGCCCAGTTTCAAGCAAAACTAAGAAAAAAAAACGCGATGCACCAGGGTTCCATATCTAACTTAAACTAGGGGGCTGGTCTCCTAAAGCACTAAAATTGGGCAAGGTTGTTTTTGTTTTTTTTCGAATTTATAAACTATAATTATGGATGCGAGCGCCTTCGTGTGCCATTAAACGAGAAATAGTTTGCGAGGTCAGATCAGCAATTTAGTAATATAACCATTAAAGGCGGGCAGCAATCGATTGTTGTTTTAGCCATAAACCGCTGTAATCCCGGTAGTATCATAGAAACACACCTTTAAATGAAGACAACAAAAATAAATTTTAAATAATGCCGAGAAGTAAAGATATTAGCGACTGGAACATGCAATATAGCTCTACACAAAAGCGCATGTGGCGCTCGTCGCTACCTAACACAAACAAAGCGAAAAATTCTATAAAACGTACGCAACTCTTGAGACATCGCTGCATTGCCAAAAACAAATAAAAACCTCCAGACCCCACGTCGAGAGACGTCTAGACGAATCTGAATGAAGGAATAAAGTGACTGCTCGACTTGCGATTTGTGTCCTTATTCTGAGCAGCAAAAGTTTTCGGCTTCTGCAAGCTGCATGGTCGAGGAAGAGAGACCAAGGTTGCGAAGGAATGGAAATGTATCGTATAGAGAAATTGGTCTGCTTTTAAACCGCACATATCTAGGAGCGCTTCTCCGATAAGCTTGAAGCAATGCGAATTCTTCGGTGTTTTCAAGAAAGTTCGGGACCGTGGCATTATGCTAGCGTGAATCGAATATTTCGTCTGTCCCAATGTCTTCCCGTCGAGAAACATCGAGAAAACATAAGGCAACGTTGCCGTTTTTTTTTTTTAAAGTTTTTGTGCAGGCATGCACGATATATATATAAGGATATACGGGGAGTCGGTAAATGATTGATGCTCCATTACAGCGACAGCAGTTATTGGCAAGGTTTTGTAGCGGATCCCCGGGCGTGTTTCGTACGGCCGTGGCAGAGAGCTAAATCTATCGGTGAGCGGACAGTAAAAAATAAGGGCAACTATATTTAGCGGACGGTGTTCACGTGAAACTGTGACGTCACGTGACGTCACAGTGATGACATGATGTCACGTGACACTTTGTTTCTCGTCGCAATGGGATTTTATTGTTAACGTGCACCATGGCCGGAACGCGTGGTTAAAAGATTATGTGATAAAGGCATATGAAATCTACGCAATGGAAATGACACAAATCCCTCCACCCAAGAACGAAAAAAATCACACGATGCTGGACTCGATGTTAGGCAAATATCTTAACAGTTGCGATTGTTTAATTTTGTGAATGGTGGTGGGAATGTTCGTGTGCACTGTTATCGTTCGTAACTTTGCTCGCCGTTGACTGTGCAGCGCATCGGCTGCCACCAGTTTATTTGCATGACACGAAAAAGAAAGCAAAACGGTAATTTTTGTTCGGTATACGAAGTGACATCTACCAAACTGCACAGTTGTAACTAACGTCCATTTGAATGACATACTCCCGAATTTGTACGTCGTCTATAGACGCTGAATATGAGCTCCATTCATAACCTGAAAAGTGAAGAAGCTGGCGTTCTATAGCCTCTTCACTCATACAAGGACGGTCCCTGCTAGCCTCTTACCAAGGCGTTCCTGAATTCTAAAGTTGTCAAAGCACCTCAGTGCCAATGCACGAGAAGATTCTTTTTTTTTTTTTTAGAAATTTCTTTTTTTAAAGGTAATAGTGAAGCATGAATTTGTTTTTACGCACCTATAGTCACCCAAGCACTCTTCTACGTGGGAGGCGCCATTTATAAAAGTTGTCGGGCCTAGCGGTATGGATAGGGCGATATACAGCCAATATCGAAAGGTCTTAAAGTTTGACTTTTCTTTGAAGCCGGTTATATTGGGTGGGTATATTTGATTGTTTACTCTTTTTTCTTTAACTCAGAAGCTGTACAAATCGTGCACGGGTCTGATCCTGTATATTTCTGCCTTTTGGGTTTCTATAGCCACCGAAAGGCTTAAGCGTGTTTCACATGCAGCGGTTTTGGCCCTAAAGCGGCGCGATTTCTGCCGTCGCGGCGCTCTGGCCAGCACCAGCGGTTGAGCGGCACGAGCGCCGCGACGGCAGAAATCGCGCCCCTCTAGGGCCAAAATCACTGCATGTGAAACACGCTTTAGAAGGGCAGCAAGGGCCTTCGGTTGTCCCGCATCCAGCGCGAGCTTTTCATCTTCGACAGCTCTTACCGCTCATTCACACTGGAAGCGGATCCGCGTTCGCAAAGCGGTTGCGAACGTGGTTGTATAAAGATACAGTGCAATTGCACGCGCACTCGATGACATCAAGTGCGCGTGCAATTGTACTGGATCTTCATACATCCGCGTTCGCCAACGGTTTGCGAACGCGGATCCGCTTCCAGTGTGAATGGGCGGTTACCCAGGCACCACACAGTATTTCGCCAATATTGGCGTCGGATCGGAGAAATCGGACCAATATCATTCTGATACTGCCGATATTGGCGCTGAATCGTAATGGTCGGGCTAGCATTGCCGTGATGTGGCCGATGTCTGCGGAACATCACTTGGGTCGGCCAACGCCACGCTGATATACAGAATCCAGCGCCGTTTTCCGGTAATTTGTCGGGTTTGAACCGGTTATATCGGTCGGTATTAGGTTCTTCACCGCTTCTAAAACGATACTGAATCGCGGTCA